CAAATCTCAGATATTGTTAATCAGTATGTAAATAATAATTTAGAATTAGGCCTATTATATAACAAATAATTGTATTAAAGTTTAGGTTCTCATGATGTCAGATGACGTATTGAATATGAAGCTATATTTTTGGCTCTAACTTAATTTAACGATGGCCCTGTCAGTAGTAATGACAATATTTTTGCTTTTTTTAGCCATGTAGATAAAATAGTACTATTATTTCCAGTGTACAAAATGAGAGTCAAGATGAAGCAAGTAGTAGAGGAAGAGGAGGAAGAAGAATAGCTTCTTCTTTTTTTTGTTTTATAATAATAAATGTGTCGAGTATATTGACATTGATTATGCGATGAGGTTTTTTATTATCTCTTTCGGTGTTATTTAAACAATTCTCAGAAAATATTTTCTAATTTTATTACATCAGCACCTTTTAATTACATAGATCTTTTTCAAAACATAACTGCTTTTAAAACATTATATAGACCCATTAAACACAAAAACTGCTCTTGCTTCGGAGGCTTCGTCCCGACCCCACCGTGGCCCTTAGGCAGGCCCTGGGACCCCACCTGGCTACGGGCCTGAACAATATTACGTTCTAAGAACGTTATAATAACGTTACAGTTTGGTGATAAAAACGTTATTTTGTAGAGCCATATGTACGCATTTATAACCTAATGTCACAACCTCAAGACGTTTGAACGATATTACAATGTTTTGTGAACGTTATTTTGTGACATGCCTAACCACAACATTCACAAACGTTATAAGAATGTTTTGTGTTTATGAGTCATCTTAATTTAATTAAAGATAATAGTAATACTATTATTTCAGAAGGTCATTTAATATCAGCCAATCTGGAAGGGTCATCTGCTAAGGTATATAGTTTTAAAAAAAAGGGTAAAAAATATATTATGATGATACCTTGGGCAGAGGCTTGGTTGCTAGATTTGTAAACCACCAACCTTACTATAGTAGTCTAAACTCACAGTTTATCCTTTCCTGCTTTAAATTTTCTCCTTATGAAACAAAATATTATTACGGAACCTTCGGCTTAATAAGTTTTGTACATGGGGCCCATGCATTCATTAATATGGCAACGGTGGCAGTTGGGCAAAAAAAGAATGAAAGAAATGAAAAAAAAAAAAAGAAAAAAAACAGAATGAACAAAAAAACTAATGGTAAATATTAGGGCCTAACTGTAAATTAGATGAATAATACTAAAAGGTAAACATAGTGTGTACTATTTGAACTGATCGATATGTAAAAGAAATTTAAAAAAAAAATAAATAAAAAACTAAATAAATAAAGCGGTAAAAAGGTTAAAAATGCAAAAACTAAAACGCATAAGGAAAAAGGTGTACAAATATCATATGTCTTCTGAAAAAAACCCCTTTAGAAATGGAAGGAAAAAAATATATAGCCTATTTTGAGATCTAAAATGGTTGAAGATTCTGTCCAGGTCGAACTTGTGAGTCCTATTGGTAAAGTAATTTGTATTGCATTTCAGTAGTGATATAATATAATATAATATAATATAATATAATATAATATAATATAATATATACTGTAATAAATTTGTCCCTACAACATTTACCTTAGATCATTGCTTATCTCTAAACTGGTTCAATCAATCCCATGAGTCTTTTGGGCGTACTGTGGGAATGCGTATGTTCCTTTTTCTACGCGCACAGCTAGCGCGGAAGTTTGTGCTCACGCGTCATAAATAAAGCACATAGCAACTAGCCAAACAAACCAAAGAGAGACTTGATGCTCGTACGTAGTTGGTTATAATTTCACCGCTCAAAAATTCACTGATTTTACCAGTCGGAATCGATTTTAATATAATTTTACTACACATTTAGTGTACTATTCGAAGACGAACATGACGAGATCAAACGAAAGGTAAATTGAAAAGTATTTAAAATGTTAGGTGAACTTAAATTTATGACAATATTCTAGGCCAACGTGGATACTGATTTTGGCAATGGCAGAATAGACCGTTGCTGAGAAGACGCCTGCGCGGACGCTCCGGTCGCCTATCCAAAGTCATATTTTAAAAACAAAGCAATGAAAATAGTCCTAAATGAAAATAGAACTGAAAAATTGTGCACTTACTACTACTAAGAAACAAATTTGGGCACTACTACTAAGAAGTATTTTTAATGATAAAAACATCTTTCGTCTAAGGCTAGCCGACGGAGATATATGTATTGTGTAGGTCTAAATTTTTATAATAATATTTTGGCCTAGGCCTAGGCCTATTCTAATATCTATTAATAAGTACACACTTTAAAAATGTATTTTAAAGTAGGCATAGGCCTACAAATCCATACAATTCATAACAAATACATAATTATTGATTTTGATTACCCGTCTGAACTCCTTATTTAGGCCTTTAAAACTGAATGTGCATTCTGTGTTGTTCATTGATCTGGGTCCTGCACACCATCATGATATTTATATAAAAAAGAATTGTAAAAAAACCAGAACAGAAACAAGCTTGACTACAATTAATAAAATATTTTTAAAAATAAATTTAATTAAATGTTAACAAATCTAAAGAAAGGAAGCAACATCACATTCTTTTATTAATGTTCTACTCCAGTAGAATTACATTTTTTCTCACCTGGTTGGGATCAATATGTCTTTATAAACACGCAATAACACATTTTGACGGTAATTATGTTCCACCGTTCCACATTTACAGTGAAATTAGGGGCGTTTATTTGAGTAATGTATCCATATTATACAACAAAAATAGCCTCGAATAAACACCTCTCTCGAGTACCCTCAAAACCCCTTCTCAACTATATAATAAATGCTCCGGGGCGTTTATTCGAATAAATATGGTAAATTATTTATACTTATAAACTTTATTTTCTAATAAATTCCTATCATGCTGTAGGTAATGTGCAACTCAATCTTTTTCTTT